ATCAACTATAATTTAACTGCTCGTATTTGTTTAAATTTAATAAAACCTTTTTATTACCTTGTACCTGCCCATCTTTATCCAAAACCAGTGTTAAGTATTTAGGTATTCTTATTGATAATCAACTGAATTTTAAAGATCATTTAGAAGTTTTAACGTCCCGAGTTCGAAAACTTATTTATGTCTTTAAAAATCTGAGGCATGTAGCTAAACCCGAACTAGTGAAACAAATATACACTGCATTGTGTCAATCCATTATAACTTACGGTATAACAATATGAAAAAAACTACATTAGCTCCACTGGAAAGAGCTCAGAGAGCTGTTTTAAAGGTTTGTACTTTTCTACCCAATCTCTATCCAACATATAAACTATATAAATACTGCTAAGTATTAACAGTCCGACAATTATTTATTTATCTGACAATTTTAAAGCAACATGGGTTATCAAATTTTACCTCATCTCAATTAATAAAGAGAATATCAGACAAAGTGTGACATACTGCTACCTTTAAACATTCGTATGCACATAAATATTTTTGTTTTCTTGATCCATTCTTGTACAAAAAAATAAATAAGCAACTAAATTTATACATTTTAAATAAGAATCAATGTAAAAAAAATCCTATTCAAATGGCTTTAAAAACTAGACTATGATGAAACAGAGGTATTATTGAAATCCCTAAACAACTGAATTACTTCTATAATGTATAATTAATATACCATTATTTTATATTTTATTATTATAATTATGACTTTAATGGATACTACTCACCCTCTCCCTCGCACACACTAAAACACACACACACACCCACACACACACACACGCACACACACACACACACACACACACACACACACACACACACACACACACACACACACACACACACACACACACACACACACACACACACACACACACACATACACACACATACACACACACACACACACACACACACACTCACACACTAACGTGCACCCACATACGAGAGGAACAATTTACACTCAATCAAATATTTAGTTATGTATGTAGGTTTAATTTTCATACTTTAAATAATATTGTTTGATATATGTTTACGTAATTGAATAAAACTATTATTTACGGATTTTATCGCGTTTAATTACTTTAATTTATTTTTATTATTATCCCGACGTTTCGGGTGCTTTACAGCGCCCATGGTCACGGGGGGACTGAGATGTTTGACGTCCCAATGTCATAGTTAGTCCGGCTACCTTCAGTTTTTTTAATATTAATTTTTGGTCCGATTTACGCAAAACGAGCTTATAGTATCATGAAGTCTTGCAGTGGTATGCTTGGGTTTGGGTTTAATTTTGTTGATTATAGGATCCCAAGCAGATGGTAGCACCCAACCATCTTCTCTATTGAAATTTGGATGTTTTTTAATTTCAATAGCCTCGCGTATCATCCTTGGTAGGAATCGGTGTTCTTTTGCGAAGAATTTGTGGTTTATCAAATCTAATGTAATGGTGGGGACGATCTTGAACATGTTCGCAGACTGCAACTTCCCGGAGCGTCGGTGCTTCACATCAGCTATAGTTCCTTCACGCGGGTTTTTATAGATCTCTTTGTGAAAAACCCGCGTGAAGGAACATATAGCTGATGTGAAGCAACCGACGCTCCGGGAAGTCTGCAGTCTGCGAACATGTTCAAGATCGTCCCCACCATTACATTAGATTTGATAAACCACAAATTCTCGCAAAAGAACACCGATTCCTACCAAGGATGATACGCGAGGCTATTGAAATTAAAAAACATCCAAATTTCAATAGAGAAGATGGTTGGGTGCTACCATCTGCTTGGGATCCTATAATCAACAAAATTAAACCCAAACCCAAGCATACCACTGCAAGACTTCATGATACTATAAGCTCGTTTTGCGTAAATCGGACCAAAAATTAATATTAAAAAACTGAAGGTAGCCGGACTAACTATGACATTGGGACGTCAAACATCTCAGTCCCCCCGTGACCATGGGCGCTGTAAAGCACCCGAAACGTCGGGATAATAATAAAAATAAATTAAAGTAATTAAACGCGATAAAATCCGTAAATAATAGTTTTATTCAATGTGTAGTGTTCGCGTAAATTTAAGAAATCATTATATGTTTACGTAAGTTTCTTAATCAGAAAGATTTCTGTTAAATTGTCCCATAAGAAAGAGCACTGATGCCTGAGATACAAGCTTATTGTTTAGTTTAGGCACAGATGCAAAAACATATACTGTTAAAAATTTTCCTGAATAAAGAAATTATTATTATGTGTGGTCAACGAAATCTATATAGGGGTATCTATATAGTTTTCTCATCTGGTTGGGATGTATAAATATATAATTATAAACGAAAATGAAACGATAAATATACATAAATATCAATAAAATAAAATAAATGAAAATACATAAATAAATAAAAGCCCAACCAGATGGAAGCCCTCGGCAGGGGAGACAAAACGGCCAAGGGTTAGGGTGAAAGGGAAAGAAACCGGCGGACGATGCGGGCAGTATCAAGGAGCACCGCCTTCTGCATTTGAGCCCGGAGCGGTCCGTCACGGAGTCCCAGTCGCCTCAGATGACCAGAGAGGCTAACTGGGATTAGCCCATTCGCAGAGACGACTACAGGAATAATTTCAGTCGGCAGACCACCCCACATGTCGGTCACCTCGTGAGCCAGGTCCAGATATTTTAATTGCTTATCTGTTTCGGCTCTCACGAACAAATATCCTTGACTGTGCCCGGTCCATCAGTACAATATCAGGCTTATTCGCAAGAATAGTCCTGCCTGTGATGATGGCCCGGTCCTAGTAGAGCCTGGCGCGGTCATTTTCGAGCACGGCTTCCGGCAAGTACTTGTAATGCGGCAATTTCCGATCCACGAGACCGTATTTCAGAGCGAGCTCCTGGTGTAGAATTCTGGCTACTAGGTTGTGCCTGTGCAAGTACTCAGAGTTAGAAAGCGCCGAACAACCGGAGATGACATGCCCAAGTGACTCACCGGGATGGCGACAAGCTCGACAGATGTCGACGGTGCCATCCTTTAGGATGTATCTCCGATAGTTGTTGGTCTTAATAACCTGATCCTGTATTGCACAGACAAAACCCTCGGTTTCCCCGAAGAGATCACCAAAGCGTAGCCAATGGAGGGAGGCTACTGTGTCTACGAAAGGCTCATGTAGAGCCTTGTAGAACCTCCCGTGGAGCTCCTTCTCCTTCCATACGGTCTCCCGGTCGGAAATGCTCTGCACTGCCGGGTCTTGCCATTGCTCGTTGGCTAAGGATAGAGGGGTAAGTCCTTTATCACAAGAAATGACGTCCTTATAGAATGGGTCATTCGATCTCGCCAGGAAGTAATCACGGAGGCTGCACACTTCGCGATTATGCATGGTGAGCGCGCTCAAGAAGCCACGACCACCATGCTTCCGCGGCAAGTACAGCCTCATTACCGACGATCTCGGATGATGCATCCTATGGGACGTCATGGTAGTGCGGACTTTTCTATCCAGGGCGTTAAGTTCAGTCCGAGTCCACCTGAGTATGCCAAAGGTATACATGAGGACAGGCATGACCCAGCCGTTATACGCGTGTGCCTTATTCACACCGGACAAAAAGGCTGTTAAGCACTTTGGTCAAGCGTGCATAACACATCGCAAACTGACTGTTTCATACCAGTCTCATCGATACCGATGTTTTGTGACATACCCAGGTATCGGTATGTTTCAGCCTCGGAAAGAGTCCTTAAGTTGACGGGCATAGATAAGTCTATGCCCTCAGAGTTAGCAACCCTACCCCCTCTCAACATGGAGGACCGCACACTTATCCGTCTCCAGCTCCATTCCAATAGAATTGCTAAATTCACAAGTGATGTTTAGCAATTCCATAAGATGGGAGCAACTGGAGGCGAATAATTGAGGTCATCCATATAGAAAAGGTGGGTCACTTTTGTCCTTCCTTTCCGTAGCTGAAATCCCCTCCCGGAGCCCTCCAGTAAGGTACTGAGAGGGTTAAGAGAGAGGCAGAACCAGATTGGACTCAGACAATCGCCCTGGAAGATACCCCCTTCTTATCCTTATGTGGTTCTCCGCAGCCATCATCCGCTCGCCCAGATGACAAAGGATCGTACTCCACTGCCCCATACACTGCTCGAGGAAGTCTCTAACTGTACAGTCTATCTTGTACAGCTCGAGGACTCTCTTTAGCCATGTATGGGGCACCGAGTCGAATGCCTTTCTGTAGTCTATCCGGGTGGCGGAGAAGTTCCGACGGTTGCGTTTCACCACTTTGCCAATGACCGCGTCAATGAGGAGTGGTTCCTTGGTTCCACGACCACCGCCCCGACATCCATTTTGAGCGCGCGACATCACCTGATTTGAGTCCAGGTGACAAGTGATTCTCGCGCTCAAAATGGATGTAAGTGTCTTGTATATGGTCGGTAGACACGTGATGGGGCGGTATTTGCTCGGGTCTGTGGTACCTTGGTCTTTAGGAACCAAATGAGTGATCCCAGTAGTGAAGAGGCTTGGGAGCGACTTCTGGTTGAGAGCCTCTTGAAACTGTCGGGCGAGCACAGAGTGACACACCATGAACCCCTTCAGTCAGTAGTGATGCAGCCCGTCAAGCCCCGGACTTTTCCAGTTCGGGGCCCTACGGACCGCCTCAGCTACGTCACCCGGCGTTATGATGACGGGGTCCATGGGCGTAATACCCGCACACTGACTCGCCACAACTTCCGTCCAAGGGCCCTCGCTGTGGTTTACGGGCTCTGACCACAGGCCGAAGGCCAGAATGTTACAGTGTCGGCCTGATTCGGTGCTGGACCCGTTCCACTTACCATTGGTCGCTCCAATGATTCATAGAGCCTCTTCTGATCACTCTGGAAGAGACGATTCTGGTTGAACCGTGTCGACGTCTCGGTATATCGTCGAATCCGCTTTCTCCAAGCAGCGATTCTCTGCTTCAGATCATCTAAGCGCTCCGTCAGTTTTTGCGTTATATCCGGCTGGGACAAACTGACATTTGTTCCAGCAAACGCCATCCTGACGGTGCGTTGTTGCCTGATCTGAAGCATATCAGTCTGCCGATGAGAGCTCTAGCCTTTGCGATACGTTCCTCAATTCTACTTCTCCATGCTGGGATAGCGCTACTATGATGGCCAGTAGCGCGTCCAGCCGTGGAAACCTTGGCGCCTATGATACGGCAGACTGCCAGCGCGGCGCCAAAAAGAATTGAGTCCGTCTCGCAAAGGTCCCGGCTGGCTTCCAAATAGGTCACCAGCATTGGGTTCAGAGCCCTCACGACAGCCCGATTCCGCTTGCTTAGGGCTATGCGGGGAAGTCGCGGTCGATTTTCGAGAGGCGTACTGCGCGTTTCCACAATCACCTCTTCCAATATACTCCTCATATGCTCTAATTCCAATTCCTGGGCGACTGTTCCATCATCGTTTGAATCAACCACAACTGGAGTATTCACGGCGGCATCCATGTTTGCGGGTTGCTCTACCATTTGTGGCGCCGCATCCTCAGCCGTAGCATTCTCATCCGACGAGGGAACAGCCTCACGTCTTAGCCGTTCGAGTTCGGCGACATCAAATATATTTGAGCGCAAGATATACCGAACTCGGTCTACCAGGTTTTTCTCTGTGACGGTTAAAGATGGCTCCAGCTCAGCAAAAAGACGATGCATCCTAGCCCGATACGCCAAACATCCAGTTTCTTCCCCTTTTGCCCTAAAGTACGCCCGCAGTGCGTTTGCATTCATTGCTTGTGACCAACGCATGCGACGTGCTCCACCAGCGGCGGGTGCCGCTTGCTGAGTCCGAGAAGACCCACCGGACACCAAGCCTTCTGGTGGGGATGATGGATGCGGAGGGCTGCTAGGTGACCGTGCAGCTCCTCGCGCTCGGCTGGCGGCCCGCATGCTGCCGCGTCCAGCGCCAGCTCCAGACGCGCCCCGGCGACCCCCAGGCAGCGGCCCTTTGCGCACTATCTTCTTATCCATCATCCATTATTTGGGCGTCCATTAACGGGAGACGCCCAGGCCCGGCACCGTTTCGTGTATAGCCATAAGCACAAACGGGCCTCTGCACCCTAAATTTCGCCGAGGCACGGCGCTCACACCTCTTGCAAGGCGCTGACTGACTGCGTTGACGTAGCAGCTTTGTCACTTAACTGTTACGTCAGCGGGTGATGGGGTCGTCAATTCCCTACGCCTATTTATTATTATTATAATTGTTATTATTATTGGGGTATCTATATAATTTTCTCACCTAGTTGGGTTCTATAAATATATAATTATAAATTAAAATGAAAAAATCATTTATCTTTTCATTTTTACATCAATAAAATAAAATAAATACAAAAACTACATAAATAAATAAGATCCAACTAGATGGAAGCCCTCGACAGGGGAGACCACACGGCCGAGGATTAGGGGGAAAGGGAAAGAAACCGGCGGACGATGCGGGCTGTATCGAGGAGCACCGCCTTCTGCATTTGAGCCCGGAGTGGTCCGTCACGGAGTCCCAGTCGCCTCAGATGACCCGAGAGGCTGACTGGGATTATCCCATTCGCAGAGACGACTACAGGAATAATTTAGGTCGGTATACCACCCCACATGTCGGTCACCTCGTGAGCCAGGTCCAGATATTTTGTTCGTTTATCTGTTTCGGCTTTCACGAGGTTCTCGTCATACGGAATGGTAATGTCTATCAAAATATCCTTGACTATGCCCGGTCCATCAGCACAATATCAGGCTTATTCGCAAGAATATTCCTGTCTGTGATGATGGCCCGGTCCCAGTAGAGCCTGGCCGGGTCATTTTCGAGCACGGCTTCCGGCAAGTACTTGTAATACGGCAATTTTCGGTCCACGAGACCGTATTTCAGAGCGAGCTCCTGGTGTAGAATTCTGGCTACTAGGTTGTGCCTGTGCAAGTACTCAGAGTTAGAAAACGCCGAACAACCGGAGATAACATGCCTAAGTGACTCCCCGGGATGGCGACAAGCTCGACAGACGTCGACAGTGCCATCCTTTAGGATGTATCTCCGATAGTTGTTGGTCTTAATAACCTGATCCTGTATTGCACAGACAAAACCCTCGGTTTCCCCCGAAAAGGTCACCGAAACGTAGCCAGTTGAGGGAGGCGGCTTTATCTACGTTAGGCTCATGTAGAGCCCTGTAGTACCTCCCATGGAGCTCCTTCTCCTTCCATACGGTCTCCCGGTCGGAAATGCTCTGTACTGCCGGGTCTTGCCATTGCTCGTTGGCTAAGGATAGAGGGGTAAGTCCTTTATCACTAGAAATAACGTCATTATAGAATGGATGGATGGTCCATGTGGATCACAAAATTCAATATCGCCTTGTATGAAAGAAGGAAAATGTACAAAGTAATTCATTAAACAGCTATTAAAAAAACAGTGCACAATGACAATGGCTACCCTTTATACAGACGCAGAGCTCCCGAAGATGGTGGCAGGAAAGTTACAATCAAATCTCGCTCTGGAGCGTTCGAAACCTTAGACAACAGCTGGATTGTCCCGTATTCGCCCATTCTATGTAAAATGTTTAATGCCCACATTAATGTAAAAGCATCAAGCTCTCTCCGCGCAATCGAGTATATCTGTAAGTACATAAATAAAGGAAGCGACCAAGCAATAATTAATCTCAGGAGTGAAGGTGAGGAAAATCCCGTTAATGAAGTACAGACCTTTCAAGCAGGGCGTTATGTCAGCAGTAACTAGGCAGCGTGGCATCTCCGTGGCTTCCCTTTACACGAAAGGCACCTAACAGTTACTCACCTTGCTGTGCACTTAGAAAATGAAGAGCGTGTATATTTCACCGAAAGAAATTTCCAAGAAAAAATTGCATCACCGCCAAAAACTACACTAACAGCCTTCTTTCAACTTTGTCAAACCGACCCCTTTGCAAAAACGTTGTTATATTCTGAAGTCCCCCGCTATTATACTTGGAACACATTAAGGAGGGAGTGGAAACGACGTATTCGAGCCGCGCCTGTTGCAAATTGGCCTGGTGTAAAGTCATCAGATGCCCTTGGTCGTGTGTATACCGTCCATGTAACTAATTTTGAATGTTTCTGTTTACGATTGCTGCTGCACCATGTTCGGGGTCCTATAGGATATAAAGATCTTAAAACTGTCAACGGTCAGGAATACGCAACTTATAGAGAAGCATGTGAAGCTCTGCATCTTTTAGAAAACGATAATCACTGGGTTGAAACCAAGGAGGAAGCTGTGCAGTGCCAGTCACCAGCCAAAATTAGGGATTTTTATGCAACTCTCATATCATCTTGCGGGCTATCTAATGCAAATGAATTGTGGGACAAATATAAAGAGTACATGCCGGAAGATATTTTCCGAAGGATACAGCAGACACACACTAACATGACATACAATGAACACATTTATAATGAAGCACTTGAAAAAAAATTGAAGATAAAGTAATGGCAATGGTAGGCAAAATATTAAGTGACTTTGGAATGATAAGCCCTCAGCGAACAACCGAAAATGAACTAAGTGATGAAATTATACGTGAAACAAACTAAGATATATCAGCTTGGCAGCAGCAAGTAGCCAAATTTGTACCCCGCTTGCTTCCCGAACAAAAACGAGTTTTTGACAAAGTATTAGGAGAAATTGAATCTGGAAATGGAGCACTTTTCTTTTTAGATGCCCCTGGAGGAATTGGGAAGACATTTTTATTAAATTCATTATTAGCGCAAGTATGGAAAGATAAAAACATTGCTGTGGCCATAGCTTCCTCCGGTATAGCTGCCACGCTGCTAAGCAGGGGCCGCACTGCACAATCTGTTTTAAAACTCCCTCTAAATCTAGCCCAGGAAGAATCGCCGATCTGCAACTTTAGCAAAAATAGTGCACGAGCTATAATGCTACGACAATGCAAACTTTTAGTATGGAACAGAAGACAGAAGTACAATGTCGCATAAAAAGCTGTAGAAGCACTAAATCGAACACTCCAGGATTTGCGCAGCAATACCGATGTAATGGGAGAAATGGTGGTTTTGCGGGCTGGTGACTTTCGCCAAACTTTAAAAAGGGCACACCTGCAGTGAAATTAAAGCATGCCTCAAGTTGTCTATTTTATGGAACAAGGTGACAAAATTCAGTTTAACTACGAATATGAGAGTACATTTGTATAATGATATCAATGCTGGAAACTATGCTGACACACTATTAAAAATTGGCGATGGGCGGTTGGAAACGGATGCTGAGGGCTGCGTTAAATTGACGAGAGATTTTTGTAATTTAGTACAGAGTCATTCCGAATTAATTGCGAGCGTTTATTCAGATTTAAAACCCTCTCAGAAATGAGAGGAGGCCTGTGCCCAGCAGTGGGATGTAAATAGGCTGTAACTTTACTTTACTTTATTCAGATTTTACGAACAACATGCATGAAGACAATGGTTATGTGAAAGGGCGATTCTTGCACCAAAAAATGAGAGCGTTAACAAAATATATTCAGATATATTAAGCGAAGTAGCAGGAGAAATAACAGTATTTGTCAGTAGACACAGTTATGGACAGAACAGAGCACTTAATATCTCGTAGAGTTTCTAAATTCTCTAGAGTGTTCAGGCCCTCACATAAGCTTCAATTAAAATTAAGCGTCCCAGTCATGCTAATGCGAAATTTAGATGCTCCTCGGTTATGTAACGGGACAAGGCTGCGTGTGACACATCTTGGGCGGAACATAATCGGTGTTACAATTTTGAAAGGCGTAGGAAAAGGTGAAAATATTATTATACCACGGATCCCTATAATTCCCACAGATCTTCCTTTTCAATTCAAAAGGTTGCAGTTCCCTATTAAGCTCAGTTTTGCAATGACAATTAATAAAGCGCAAGTGCAAACGTTACGGGTAAACTTTTTTCTACTAAAACTCAGTTTTCTTTCAATTAAAAAAGCAATGGATAATTCATTTCCCGGTGACCATGCCGGCGAAACCGCGGGTAACAGCTAGTTCTAGAATATATGGGAGTCTTTCTTTTTGAGGTTTTACATTTAATAACGGTTCTAAATGCGGTATTGTTTGCATGCAATGTTAATTTGTTTTTAATTGTATTAATCCATCAATGAACATCATTTTTGACATTCACATTCTGTTTAAATTAAATTAACTAAATAATGATTTCTTATATTTACGCGAACACTGCACATGACTAAAACTACTTTTACGGATTTTATCGCGTTTATTTTTACTTTTTATTTATTTTTTTTAATTCCCGACGTTTCGGGCGCTTTCCAGCACCCATGGTCACGGGGGACTGAGATGACTGACGTCCCGATGTCATTGTTAAACCCGGAGTACCTTCAGCTTTTTTAATTATTGTTTATGGTCCGCAGTGGTATGCTTGGGTTTAGTTTTAATTTTATTGATTATAGGATCCCAAGCAGGTGGTAGTACCCAGCCTCCTTCTCTATTGAAATTAGGATGTTTTTTAATTTCAATAGCCTCACGTATCATCCTCGGTAGGAATCGGTGTTCTTTCGCGAGGATTTGTGGTCTATCAAATCCGATGTAATGGTTGGGGCCGTCTAGGATATGATCACAAACTGCAGACTTCCCGAAACGACTACCAAGGATGATACGTGAGGCTATTGAAATTAAAAAACATCCTAATTTCAATAGAGAAGGAGGCTGGGTACTACCACCTGCTTGGGATCCTATAATCAATAAAATTAAAACTAAACCCAAGCATACCACTGCAAGACCTCAAGACATAGTCAGTTCATTTTGCATAGATCGGACCATAAACAATAACATAAAAAAAAAATAAAAAGTAAAAATAAACGCGATAAAATCCGTAAAAGTAGTTTTATTCATGAGATTAACTAAACTTATTTTATACAAAAAGAAACAATTAATTTGAAACAAAGTATCTTAATAAAAATGAAAACTATTTTTAGATATTCATTTTATCACTTATTACTCCATTTTCTTACCATATTAAATACCATTTCT